AGAAGGATGGTCAAATGCGGTTCTGCGTAGACTACCGGAAACTAAACGATGTGACGAAAAAGGACAGCTATCCTCTTCCCAGGATCGATGACACTCTGGACTCGTTGACTGGAACAAAGTGGTTCTCAACACTCGACCTTAAGAGCGGTTATTGGCAGGTGGAGGTAAGTGACGAGGACAAGGAGAAGACAGCTTTCAGCGTTGGAGATGGTCTGTGGCAATTCACGGTGATGCCCTTTGGATTATGCAACGCTCCTGCCACTTTTGAACGACTTATGGACCATGTGCTCAAAGGACTGCATTGGAAAACATGTTTGGTGTATCTAGACGACATTATCGTATTGGGTAAAAGCTTTGAGGAACACCTGAACAATTTGGAAGAAGTTTTCCAGAGGATAGCTGGCGCTGGTCTGAAGCTAAGTCCTAAAAAATGCTCACTGTTCAGGAAGGAGGTGAACTACTTAGGGCACAAGGTGACAACGGAGGGCATCTGTACTGCGAAGGAAAAGATAGAAACAGTAAAGGATTGGCCAAGACCTAGGAACCTGCACGAACTACGAAGTTTTCTTGGGCTATGCACCTACTACCGCCGATTTGTTCCGAATTTCGCCAGCGTTGCTAATAGCCTCCACGAGCTCACTAGGAAAAATAGAGCCTTCGAGTGGAACAAGGAGCAGGAGGAGGCTTTCCAGACCCTGAAGGAACGACTATGTACTGCACCTATGCTAGCGTATCCCGTTCCAGGTGCAACGTTTATTTTGGATACGGATGCTAGTGGTTATGCCATAGGAGGCGTACTGTCGCAGGTAATTAATGGGAAGGAGAAGGTAGTTGCCTACTATAGCCGGTCGATTGGAAAACCAGAGAGGAACTACTGCGTAACTCGGAGAGAACTACTAGCGTTGGTGGACTGCGTCAAACATTTCCACAAGTACCTCTATGGGCAACGTTTCCGAGTTCGAACGGACCATGCAGCGCTGAAGTGGCTACTACAGTTTAAGAATCCAGAAGGACAGCTAGCTCGGTGGATTGAGAGACTGCAAAGTTATGACTTCGCTATTGAGCACCGCAAGGGAAGTGTCCACGGTAATGCTGATGCCATGTCCCGCCGACCATGTAGCCTGGAATGTAAACACTGCTCAAAAGCTGAGGGAAAAGAGGACATTATAGACGTCCGTCTAACGACAATAACACCAGCGGAAGAGTGGAAGGAAGAACAGCTACGGAAGTGTCAGCAGGAAGATCCAGATCTGGAGCTTTTGATGCATGGACTGGAGGTAGACAGGAGGCCAACTAAGGAGCAAATGGCAGCGGAAAGCCCCATCGCAAAGGCGTACTGGGCACAATGGAACAGCTTAAAATTAAT